TTAATTATAATGCTTAGATACTCGTTGATGTGACCTTGCTGATATGCAGTTTTCCAATAACCACCATCGGCCCAGTTTAACCGCACCGTGAATTCCTTTATAACTATAAATAATCCAATGACACTGATACAAGGTTCTAAAAAATAATCTACGAATGAAATTTTACATTTCTTTGCTCATAATCATTTGTTCATGATCATTCCATATATTCGTCTACATTTTCGTAATCTATATTCATATATCACGATCAGTGGTATTTACGCGTGACCACCAACCGATTTCAAGCTTTTGTTTTCGACTATTTCACAAGTTTATGCTTATACGGCGTATTATTCGAACTCATACAGCCGCTTAATCCCTTCGAAGCATTATAACTACAGCATACGACAACCTTTTGTGTCCCCGATTATTGCATCAGAAGAAAATATATATCGTATCGCTTGATGTTTTCATGATTGAACCTCCTGCGTTTAATTCTTGTATCTTTGCAGAATATCAATCATTAATGTTGTTATTAATACAAATATATGACTAAATCTTTTTGTAACATCAATAATTTTTTACTGATTCTTATATTTTTTAATATTTGACAATATAGATTAAATATATTCTTTGAATTTAAGAATGTTTCAGTTTTAAAGCAACTTTAACATTTACAAAACATATTAAATCATAAACAAATCACAATATAAAATTTATACAATATATGCATAGTAAATAAGTAAAATTGAATTAAAATTTTTGATTAGATTTCAATAAAGTTAAGTTAGATTTATAAAGTTTTGAAACTTTCTTAAATTCAAAACTAATATTTGTTATTTATAAAATATTATAAAATAAAAGGATCGATAAAAAATGTTTAATATTTTAAAATAAAAGAAAATATATAAGATCCAAATATTGTTTCGAAGAATTAAGCATAAAATGTGATATATGAATAACGAACTTTGTCACTCGAGTCGATCGAAAATTAACTCAACAATCCCGAACATATCAGACCGTATTTATATAAGCAACAATAGAAAACCCGAACAATAGGACGGTCCGTGGAATCCGTGTAATCGTATTACCCTTGTTCCCCCTTTGAAAATCGGTTCTCGGCAATCAGATACCTTCATGCTCCAGCGTAGAATTATGCTCGATGTACCTGTGACAAACGACTCACCGATGCCTCGCGATGCGTCGCCAACATTCCGGGAACGGGCAGGAAATGCATTTAAACGTGGAAATTTTTGGGCGCAGTCAGAGGATGCCGACCAGGAAAGACCGTCTTAATGTCGGAGGGAGAGGTGCGTGGCCTTTGTCTCAAGTCACGGGAAATTTTCCTTCAACAACCGATCCTGCTCGAATTGGAGGCGCCACTTAAGATCTGCGGTGATATTCACGGCCAATACACTGACTTGTTACGGCTATTTGAATATGGCGGTT